GAAGCAGAAGCTGAAAATGATTCCTTTCAGGTGGTCACTGAATGGTAAGTTTCAAAATGTTTTGTGATTCATATTACTGTTACTTCGTAGAATAGTTAGCATAACTTTTACATGCAATGTTACGGCCGGGCTCCACCGGCTGCAAACGTACAGCTTAGTGTCGCGGCGTATTCATTTGGGCTCCACTGACTGTGTACGGAAGCGACACGTAGAGAAGCCAGCGGGGTTGTTTACCGTTTGCTGAGCCGAGAGGCTGCATGTAGGCTGCATGAAATGTTAATGCATTTTCCACCTAAATTATTACATATATTTGAGTTACGGATAAACAATAGAAGAGCCGCTTAAATAGAGTTGTTGCGCCGCTCTCGTTGCCGGTGGAGCCGCTGTAATTGATTAATGGGGGCGAGCTGCTACGGGACTCGCGCTGCAGACGTGCCCGGTTGAGCCCGGCTGTTACCTGAGATGAATGACAACGTGAGGCTAGCGCTTTGCCTTTCTTCATTGAGATATGTTTTCATTGAAAACATAAATCTGCTCCGTTGTTCTGATAATAGCCTTTTTCATTCAAACACATCCAGTCTTAATAGATTAAATATGTCTTTACTTTGACACACACACACACCGACCGTCAAAGCGGGAGAGACCGGTGCCGGCCGGCCGTCTCTCTGGCGTTTTACTGAAGTATTGGCCCGCCTCAAATAATGTTCCCCTCTGGCTAAAATTGTGTTGTTTCCCACAGCATCACCTCCGCGATTGGGGATATGTTTATGCGTAGCAAAGCTAACTGCTTGGGGTTGGGGTTAGGGGTGAGGAAGGGTGCACATTACGTCCCCTCCCCACGAGTCGACACGGGCACCGGGCCCGGGGGGCAAGCCCGGCCACTCACAAGCCGCCTCTTCCTGCAGCTCCACGAGCTGCAAAGGCTCGGATTGTCCGGGCTCTGGAGCCGGTCAACCTGATTCGAGTGCTGCTGGGAGCCCGCCGGAGGCAGAGCCTCCGCTGGGTCGCAGCCGAGCGGTTCAGCCAGTTTACGATCTGTATTTTCTAAACATCAGACTAGAAAGAGGAGTTGGCTCAGACTCAAAGAGGCAGATTTAGCTGGAGCAGAAAGATTTTGTTGCGCTGCCACTGGGGGGCGGGATGAGACAACTGACTGATGATTTATGATTGGTTTGGAATTTATTGCGTAATAAACCATGGCCCAATCAAACCCAATTTCAAGAATGTACAAAAACTTAAAAGACAGATATTTCGAATTTGGATGGAAACAGATTTCTAATTGTTTTACATGTTTAATATTATGTACATAAGACCCTAAATTACATAGTTAGAAGGCTATTGTGGATTTGGGTTTCCAGAGGCTTTAATGGTAACCTTGCAAGCTGACTCATCCATGGACATGTTACCACATGAAGTAGCTGCTTTAAACAAACTTCACAATCTTCCCACAAAATAAACTTTGACATTGTTGGATTTCCAAACTTTTAAAGAATTACAAAATATCAAATGCATTTTTCATCTTCACCATTTCCAGGACCACGAAATCAGTATCCCAAAACGCAAACATGAATGTATACGCGCGCGCGCACACACACACACGCAGACATGCACACAACACAACTGTGTCTTTGGCTCGTCCACTCAGGGAGGATTGAAATACTGACAGCCTTGGATGATGATGCAATAGCCAGCAACTGTCAACTTCATGGAATTACAGTAAGCTGCTTTGTCAAAATTTAGAGAGGCTCTATTGAACTCCGGGATACAAGCGCACCACTGGGATTAATGTGCGATTCACTAAGTCTGAATGTCGACAAAATTTCTAAAATAACCACATTGGAAACTGGGAAGGACTGCAAGATTAGACTGCATAAACCTCCCATGTGTACTCACAGGAATATGACTCTAATTAAGGCTGGCAGTGGATGCTCACAAATATTAACAGCCTGCAATTATACAGAAATTGTCTGCAAGGCAATTTAGAATTAGTCTGTGGATGCCAGGTGCAGACGAAATCCATTCTCCTCTCTGGAAGGGACAACAATGATTGACTGGAAGTCTGAGAGCCAAAAATAAATCTAGATTAAGCCGGCACTGGTGTGCAGCTAATGTTCCATTGGTACTTTCTCTTGGTGCTGCGTGGTTTGCACACAGTTTTCTGATGAGCCATGAGAGACTCCCGCTGATTCACTTGCTGGTGGTGTTCGCTGTTCTGGAGGTAATCTGTGCACTAGAGGTTGTAAACTCAGGCTTTGTTAGACACCGACAAAAAAATTAAATCTGACAATCGCAGACCTCCAGGGTCAAAGTACAGCGAGTTCTCTCAGTCTGAGGAGACAGATAAGTCCCTGTAGTAGTTTAACGTGGTCTCACTTCATGAAGCTGCACTGGCATCAGCCCAGCACGCTGTACGTACCACAGAGACACAGGAAAGGTAATTTTATGCAGCAACATTAAATACAGGCAACATAAAGATCCTGGGGGTACCAAAGTGGTTCGGGGTTAATTAAAATTCAAAGTGTTAGTTGCATCCTTCTTTCTGTTCTGTTCTCTATATGATGTATAACGCAATCTATCGGTTCTGTGGACTGAAATCAAATTTTGATGTTTTCTCCAGGAGTATGACGGTTGCGAGCCACAAAAGGCCAAGCTTTGATTGATTATCAGCACAGCCTGTTCTTCTTTCGACTGTCTCAATAAGGGGGGAAAATGAAGCCTGTGTGATTCCACAGTGAAAAGGTAAAAAAAATAAAATAAATAAAGACTCTCATAAAGTTCTGATGCAAAATTACAGCAACGCTCAACTATTTTATAGGATAATAGGTCAGTACGTGTCCTTGATCTGCATGTTGTCATTACGGCTGGAACGATGTCAGATTTTCACTACACGATTATCGTGGCCAAAAGAATTCATCACAACAATAATATCGTCTATAATAGTAATAATAATAACAATTCTTTCAGTCAAGTTCATCTTTAACTTTGTTCATTGTGCATTTTGTCTCTTTTTTGACAAATGAATTACTCTCAAAGTAAAAGTGTAGGGAGGTGGAGGGAGAGTCTGTAACCAGGGTGTCTACTAGTAACAGACACTTATATTACGACCTTTACAAGATAATTTTTCACCAAATTTAAGAGTGATTTTTGGACAAGTCAACTTATTCTTAGTCAAGCTTTGCAGGTAAGTATAAATGTAACCATATATAGTTATATATGTGGCCCTGTGCAGAGGTAGGTTTTATGTAGAAATATAGTTATCAGAGTGAGTCAGGTGAATGTACGTTTTGTCAAAAGATAAGTGATCCAGGTATAAAGTACAAAGACAGTATTAGGTACAGCGGTAGGTTAGAGATTTGGCATATCAGAAATGTGGACTTTCACACATAAGAGCTTGACTCATTTTGACGAAAACAAATTAAAGGTTTGAGCAATTAAATCAAAATGTTTGTGGCAATTAAGACCTCACAATTCAATTCAAATTTAAGTCTATCTAATGACGTTTACGGCCTAATATCTATAACAATTGAATTTAAGAAATTATAAGACTTTTACAGGACCTGCAGACACCTTGTGTAACTGTAACTGTACAAATGGGTACAAGAGGAGCAATTATGCTTAATGGATAGTGCAAAGGCAAACTGAGAACTGAAAGAAATGGAAATGATCTAAAGCCTCGGAAAAGAAAAAACAACGTTATGAGTTTGTCACATTACAGAAAAATGTGTCACAAACCAACCAGCCAAATTTGAATGATTAAAACAATTGCCTCATGTGTAAAGTTTTATCTCAAAATCACAAAAAAGAGCAGTAATTTCTGCTCTGAAATCCCGTGGCTATGTCCACTGAAGGGGCTAAAATGGAAGAACAAGACTTTTGTTCAGCGGTCAACCCAGTGAACACAAAGCATGTATTCCCTGAGCCAAAGAACCAGCAGCTGTGCAGCAACGGCCTCTCATTAACAGTTAACCCAGTGCACAATCATGTACACACATCTCCTAGAGAGCCGCTTTGCAGCAGCAGCCTCTTGGTCAGCAGCTAACAGCAGCTAACGTTAGCACAAAGCACACAACCACAGCAGTGAGCAATCACTGCTGGCAGGCCGAGTAGCTGATTCAGGCTGAAAGACTGAGTGTTTTATTCATGTATTAATTAGAATGAAAGTGCTAAGAGAGCTTGTGGAATGTAGCGATTCAACACTGTTCACACAGGGATTGAACGAGACGACACTGATGCTATGCGCTCTAACATTAGTTTGTAGGGGAAGGGTTATGTTAAGGATGGCTCCAGTGCATCATGGAATGGTGATTTCAGGTTAGCCCAAAAAATCAGGGACACAAAAACAGTGAAAAACAGGTTAACGGTCTGGCTTCACAAGATAGTATCTTATAGTTCACGTACATCATACGTGTGTTATTATCATGGTATCAATACTTAATTTTTCAGTACCACAGTTATCGTTAATGCCAGCGGGTAGAAACATCCCTAGCTGTCATTTTCCCAGCTACTGATGAACTTCACACAAAGCTTTTTGGGCTACGACGGATATACTGAACAGCATTTGGCAGTGGAGACTTTTATCCCCAGGCTGACATCTGCGTTGACAATACACCTGTGCAATATCTGATATTAGTCACCGGGAAACTGATGACTGTGCGTGAAGTTCAGACAGAGACCACCCCTGGTCGGGACACTGAACTCTGCTATGTGTCTTCAGGCAAAATCAGGAGATGAAACAGAAGCTCGTTCTATTGAATCCAAAAAAAAAAAAGAAGAACTAAAACAGTTCTTGGAAAAAAATATATGAAAGATAGATCAAAGCCTGCGTTGACCTTACAAGACCCCGCACCTCTCTATTCTCCTACAAATCCTCCAAAAGATATTCAGAGCGTTTTTTAAGGAATAATCTGACTTGACATTTCTTTTTTTGTTACACACAGCACTTGCATACATCTTCCCTGGCCTTGAATTGCTTAAAAGCAGTCATAATATATTATAAAAAATGACTGAAAGAGGCAAACGGTGGGAAAGCCGTTACTCTCATGTGCACGGTCTGAAAATCACTTCATGGCATTGACGCCGCTCCTTAATGGAATCACATGTCACCAACAACCAGAACCAGCGCACTAGTTTAGAGCCAGTTGATGGTGCCAAGGATGACTGGCGACAGCTGGGCGCCTCTTACTCATTTTAAGGGTCATCAACATTTAATGTTACATTAGTGGCTTTGCTGGGTCTCCCTTTATCTACTGCGACAGTGTTGACTTAATTATGCACAGCAGTATCACACTCATCTTGGTCAGCCCTGACACAAAGAGAGGGATCGAGTAAGGCGAGAAAGGTCTGCCTTCCTCTACCTCGCCACGTAAGTATCCATGCTCCTTTTGATGTGGATGAAAGTGACACAGAGGGCTGTCTGGGGCCGTGCATGCAGATTAACACACAGATGCACACATGCGCGCGCGTACGCACATACAGTCTTTCACCGAGTTGTAAAAGTAGGTCCTTCCTCTAGGGCTGAACCCCTTTGGTATCCCCCTTCATCTCCTTTCTTTGTCTGAAATCCCTGTCCCTCCCAGCAGTCTCTAAACACAGACACCAAGAACACAAACTGACATCCTGGATTACTGTCAGATCTACAACACAAAGCCGGCGCCAACAGTCAAATAAAATGTGCTGACAATCTGAGCCGCTGCCAAAAATATAAAGTTGAAATATGATGAGAGAGAAATATATGGTAAAATTATCATAGATTTACAGCTCCTGCTCTAAAACAGTCATTAAGAACTGATGACGCTTCATGACATGAAAACACAATAATGAGACCTATGCACTATGTGTCATTCAACTATAGAGCCCATTATCTAACATCTACCCATCAATGATTACACTGACATGCACAAATATTCAGTTTTTTGCTCTTACTCCAAAAAGGACAATATTCAGACTAAACTGTTTACATGGCTGATATAAAACGACTGTTCCACTAATATTCCCGTTGACATGCAGCCGTACATTTTTACAATTAACATGTCAAAATATGGAAAAGTGGAACGGCTGGAGAGGCTTGTGCCATTTGGCTTCCTTGCATCAAAACAGAATTTTTTCAAAGTTTTCTACCGGTGGCAGATCTGTCCAGCTGTGCAATCACACCCTCCCTCTTTCATTCTTACAACCGCCTTCTTGAAAAGGTCAGTGTTCTTATATTGGCTCATATCTAAAAATCTGTTGATATGGAAATGTGGGCTTTTCCTTCGGGCATGCAACTCTACACCAGCCTTGCAAACTGTTCGTCTGTGTACAGTGTATCCATGATAACACATAGAGCCAACGGTTAACGCCAGACTGTAACAATAAGGGGCCGTACATATGTCGCATCTTTAACCACCTCAAAAACATGAGGTCCGGCGCTGAGTGCTACTTTTGTGCCTTTTTTTGAATCAGCTGTCAAGAGCAGCAGGTTGCGTCTGAGGTTACTAAGCAACCTGAACAAGCACCATATCATAGCCTATTTACCTGAAATCCTGAATGCAGAGCTGATCTTCTTCCAGGCACTGTTTATACATGTGTAGGCCTATCGTCAGTGGGACAGAAGACAAGCTCTGGGTAGCCCTGCACTAACATGATCAGCTTCTCCATATTTATCATAGACTGATATTTACAGAAGAAGGGAAAGACATCTGTCGGCTGTGATTGGTTGGTCGTCGTCACGTGACGTGGTTGAACAGTTGAACTCTGTTGATCTCAGGGCGCAGCCTTCACGCCCTGAAACACAGGCGCTGGGGAACCTGTGTGCATCGAGACAGCTTCGCTCCGGCATTTGAGTGTGCCTACTGTGCATCTACATAGAAAACAATGAATTTGAGGGTACAAAAAACACGCCATGTGAACAGCTCCTGATGGACATAGCTATTGTGACTTCAGTCACTGGTTTGTGGACATCAGTTTTTCAGTTTCATTTTGGGGGTTTTTGGAGCCAGAGGAGACCAGATTTGGGCGAGAAACTGGAGCTGTGGAGGAGCAAGGGGTGGATCTGACTGAGAAACCGAGGACACTATCGGCCGACAGCCTGTCACATCAAGCAGCCTGCTGTTAATTATGTGTAACTTTTAAGCCTTAATAAAATGTACACAGTTGTCATGAAGGGGGAAAATAGCTATAGAGACCAAAACAGCTTTTTTTGCCAGGCTGTAAACATGTTTATTTCTGCTGTGAAGTTGGGCATTTTAACATGGGGGTTTATGGGGACTGACTGGCTTCTGGAGCCAGCCTCAAGCGGCCGTTCAAAAACCATTTCTGCAGTTTTTGGGACTTCTGTGTTGGCTTCATTTTTCAGCCCCAGAGGTTGCCACTTGCCATGAACAGGCAGGAGCACAGAAACTGTGGTAAAAACCCCAACTGAGACACATATTAGTGCTGTAGACGTGTCTAAGAACAGCTCCTAACACACGACTAACACCAGCATATCATCCCACATCTTAATCAGAGATGCTACATTAGGAAAAAGGCCTAATTAGTAATATCCACAGGGAATATGCCGTTAACAATACATGTATCTAATTCAGAATATTGTCATCTTTGGAATAACAGTGTGCATTAAAACGTAGTCCATGTATGTGTGCGTCTATCTCTCCTCCTAATCTACCCATGTATTTATCTTTAAACCATGAATCAGAGCAAGTGATGTCGGCTCTTACATTGATGTCTTCCAGGTTCAAGGAGTTCAGATATTGATGGTTTCTCTTCCACAGTATAGGAGGCCTCCGCTCCCCTGTGATAGCGCACGTCAACACGGCGCTCTGGCCAACTGTTACCGTGGTGACGCTAACTTTCTGGTCATCTGGCAGGGTGAGCAGGTACACATCTGTTGAGGAAAGAAATTACACAATGTTAGGCAGATTGTCTGAAGAAGAGTGACTCAATCGAAGTTTTGAGAAATCAAGGTCGTTGTAAAACTTTTAATTTGAATAAGTTTAATTATGGAAAGGAAATTCTGTTCAAGTCAGAGCCCGCCTACCTCCTATACTGTATATCTGGAATTTGATGGACCTCTTGTTCCTGTAACAGCTCATAATTCAGTGGAATAACCCCACTGAGATACTTCACAATGCAAGAATTCATGTTTTGCTCACATTTTTCTCTTAATGAAGCCTGAAAACAAGAATACAGAACACAAGAGTGTCTCAATTAGCTGCTGTTGTGCTATAGAGGCAGATGTTTTTTTAGTTAAAGATGCACTGAGGCAGCACAATTATTGCAATTTGCAAAGTAATGGGAAGGAATTAAGTTAAATGTTCTGTAAATACTTTGCATAATTTATGTAATGGTACTGTAATGGCAGTTTGACTCTCTCTATCGGGCCTCTCTGAGGACCCAGGGTTCACCACTACGTTCCTCTTTTTTAGCTAACAGGACAGAGCAGACATTTTTGGGAGGCACCACTGCAGCTGGTCTGATGACTGCTGAAACCTCATCTGAAGCTTTGTAACTAGAAGTTGGAATATTTTTAACATGCTCAGTGCTCTGAGAGTTTTAAACAAGCTAGGCTCTCCACATTGTTGTAAAAGCCCAGGAGTGCATCCTTTCTGATGAAAGTAACATGAAGCAAAAAAAGCCTGCGCTGCCAGAGTGGTTCCCCATGGAAACACAGCCCTAGACCTCGACCAGAGTCTGTGCTTTGCTCGATTCAGTCATTCCTGTAAGTTTTTTGAAAAATGTTCCTGGTTATGATGAGATATGATTCTCTGCGGTTAATTTCCACCTATTATTGCGAGGAAATATTCCAAAGAATACGATAATAATACAAAGAAAAGCCACGGTGGGTTGGTGAGAGGTCAGCACGGCTATGGTTGGTTAACGCCTTTTGTTTGTCCAGTATTTTGATGAGACAATGAGTACAATGTACACTCATCCATTCTGTGGAGGTATTATGTAACCCGGCCTGTGAGAGAATGCTTTTTAATCTTTCTCTTGGGTAATGAGCAACAGAGCAAAAGGAAACAGAGACTCAATTTGTTCTGCTCCTAAGGGCATGAAATACAAAACCTAATGAAAGAGCAGGTCCAGCAGACAGTGTTCACCCGCCACAGCCCGGAGAATCAGGATGAGAGCACCTTCAATTACAGCATGACTCCGGTGGCCCTGTACCAATGGCTTCTGAATGCTTTTTTAACCTTCTCACTCATTTGCGGTGTTTGGTCCACTTTTTGCGTCTTTGAACTGTGAACTTGGCCAGCCCGTTAGATCCAGGCCAATCAGACTGGAGCTGTGAGACAACTCATACTTCTCTTCAGAGGGAAGCTCCGAGTTAAGACTTTTAATCTCTCATTTGGCCCAATGAAACCCTACTTAAGCCCGGGCAAATCTCTGCCAGGATTACATCAAAATTAGAGGATTAATAACAGCCGTTTCTTCTGAGTGGAGTATAGCTCTAAGTTTAGATGATTATACAGTTAGTGGAGAGATGATCCAACTCTGTGCTAATGTGTGAGGCTACAGTTTGTCCTGGTGTCGTGTTGCTTTAAAGAAAATCCAGGATCTTAACTGTTTGATTTGATTATATAAACTAATTATAGACAACAACAATAAAAAAATCTATTTTTAAAGACACAATTTGCAGCACAAATACAGTGCTCTCACCACTTCTTTCTTTCTTCTTTTCATTTAAGTGTGGCACATAATCAGCACCTCATTTGCATTTTCTAATTGTCGTATTTCCCATCTTTTCTTCTCTTTCTATTAACAGAAGTATTACTGTTTACTATGATCAATTTGCTCTTCCTGTGGGAAATATAACAACTGCTGGGTGCAAAGGGACCTGAAAAAAAAAAAAAAAAAAAACTTTTACCCAGGCTGCTACTTTTAAATAGATTGGTGTATTTATTTGCATAAATCTGTAAACTATATTAAAAGTCGTCTCTGTTACTGTGTATACCCAAAAGGCCAAATAACAAACAGCTTTGCCAAACAAGAGAAAGTTGTTTCTGCTTTACTTTGCTCACTGCTTTGTGAAGAAAAACACCTTACAGTATAATGTAATTCAATGCCAAAAGAAACAACCTGAGGTTGACCTTAAAAAACACACAACACACAGTGTTGAGCCAATACCTCTGTGACAGAGTTGACAAAAATTGAACATCATCAGCTACATGAAGCTGCTGTATATTGCCCCGCTGTTGCATCAGATTGTATCATATATTACAGGTGTTCTGGTTGCGCTGCTCACTACATTATCCTATACCAACATCAAGAAGGCCTATGATAACTAAGATATATGAAAAATGTCCAAAAAATAATTGCAATAAACATTGTTGTTGTCATTTTGAGACTATTTGATGCCACTGATTAAATGGTAATATAATAGTACATAAGGCAAGTACACCTTTTGAAAGAGAAATTAACTTTTTTTCCTCAGAAATATTTTGAAACATTGAAATTGGAATA